TTTTTTTTTTGCGGGGGTAGTCCAAACATGAAGTTAGACTTCAAAAAAACGCAGTACATCAATGAAATTATTTCCTTAGTTCAGCTTATGATAATATTGATGAAATTTTAATTCATATATTACTGCCTGCAAACACATCTACAGTATATGAAATATCCCTTTAATTTATTGAATAAAGCATGAGAAATGGGCACTTGTTAGAGCTTTGTTAAACTGTATTTGTTTTTTCATTCAGCAAACATATCAAGCTACTGGGTTTAACCCACGTTTTTCTCCAGTTAAAATATGTGGACATAGGAGGATATAAAATATATATTGTGATACGGGATTATTATAAAAAGCCATTATCATCATGGCAGTTCAAATTCCTAGAAAAGATGTGGTAAACTGATAATAAAGTGAGTGAAATTTGACTACAGGCTTTACAGCCAATTTAAAGAAATCAACCACAAGTTACAGTCAAAATAACGTAGCTTTAATCAATACAGGTAGTCCCCTACTTACAACAGGACTCCATCCCAATGACTTTGCTGTAAGTCGATTTTCTGATGTAAGTAAAATATCTTTTTTTTTTTTTTCAGTTTTCATTATTGCTTTTTATTATCAATATCTATAAATCTGATCTTTGGAGGTTGAAAATATTACAAATAAACTTACAGATATATTTTAATATGTAAAAAAAAACTACACAAATCAAACATTTACTCTGACAATGAAGAGTTGGATGACGGCATTTTGTCAGTTGCAGTAATAATGCCACTTATGGAAGGTTCTGGATCATCTGGATTATCCTTGGGAATGGGGATAGTGTTTCTAGTCAGAAAATCACTGAGAGTTGTCTGTATGGTCCTTTTCTTTTTTTCCTTCATATATATCGCAGTAACATCTCACTGCTTCCTCAGTCTGCCTGTCGACATTAGCAAAGCGATCAGCATTTGGGTCCATATTTTCAAGCAACTGAAGCCCCTGATTTAGTTTAGAAAACAATTTATATGGCAGTTGTTTGAATAGTAAAACATAAAATTGAACATCTGGGAGTTAACATCTGAGAATGATAACATCAGCAAATTACACGCTGCAATGTTGTATGTAGTACATATTACTAACAATGTTGTTTGTTAGGTACCATCGAGTTGGTTCCGACTCATAGTGACCCTATGTACAACAGAATGAAACACTGCCCGGTCCTGTGCCATCCTCACAATCATTGTTATGCTTGAGTCCGTTGTTGCAGCCATTGACCCTCTACTCTACCAAGCATGATGTCCTCCAGGGACTGATCCTTCCTGATAACATGTCCGAAGTATGTGAGACATAGTCTCGCCATCCTTGCTTCTAAGGAGCATTCTGGTTGTACTTCTTCCAAGACAGATTTGTTCGTTCTTTTGGCAGTCCATGGTA